TCGCTGCGGGACGCGCACCGCGAGTACGCCGCCGCGCTGTCCGCGCTGCACGACCGCGTCGCGCGCCTCGAGGTGCTGCTGCTGGTGAGCGAACAACATGTACTACACACGCGCGCGNGAAGCAGTGGAAAGGGGGAGCGAGAGGCGTCAGCCGACACTCCGGTTATCCGCCGCCGACACCCTGGGCGCAAGAGGACAGCTTATGGTCTCCAACTGTCCCTTGCTAACAGGCCTCGGTCGCTAGACATGGAGGTGTCTGGTGGCGGCTAAGGACGAATGCTACAGGCAACAGCCAATGGCGATGTCCCGCGTTCTCTCATATCACTCGTATGGATCATGGCAGAAACAGTCAGGTTTTTAGTGGGTGTAGGGGCTACCCACCTTCTGGTAAGAAGAACCCCACATAACCCACTAGCTGCCCCCGCAGCTGATGGGTATGAAATGTTATGCATTTTTCGGATAAAAAAAGAATAGTAAACAGGAAAAGCTTGTTTTGAATAGAAACGATTTGAAAAAATCTCTCACCATTAAAATTAAAAAAAATTTCTGCTGAACATATTTATTATTGATTAGGACTAATGTATACCATTATTTATAATTATGGAGTCGGTGTTGGAAGATTTGAATATTTTATAGTTTCCTTGAGCTGTCACTTGACAGCCTGGCACACTTTTACGATGGTGGATCAAAGTATTTTTGTTCGACTATAGAGCGTGAGAACACGCACACAGTCATAATTATTTTAGTGTGAATAAAACTAGCATCGAAATTACCTAAACTTGACATGCCACGCTAGACGTAAACGCTCTTAATAATTCAGGTACTTATATGTTTTAGCTTAGGCTTTTGTGCGCGATTTTGACACTTATCCCATATACATTGAACGTCGTTTCCTTACCTCTTCAGCACGGAGCCAATGCGCGTATTCTCCACGCACTCGGTGCGCGAGTACGACCGCCGCAACGAAGACGTGGACCCGGTGGCCGCGTCGGCCGAGTACGAGCTGGAGAAGCGCGTCGAGAAGATGCACGTGTTCCCCGTCGACCTGGTCAAGGGCGCCGACGGCCTGGGGCTGTCTATCATTGGTAAGTGCTGGAGAAAACCAGTTACAATACACCCTGTATATTACATAGCTAAGCTTAATAGAGGACATGAACGCTTCCAGTGACGTATTTTGAAGTTTGTCGGCTAGGTTTTGGTAGGTATTGCAGCATTTGCACTCTGCGTAAATGACATGTCATCTAGATGCGATCTGCGGTCAGGTCAACATGTTTTCTTTCTTTCTAATCGTACATGGTGCGGGTTGCGTTTACTACTTTGGCCTGACCGCAGACCTTAAGAGTGCGATCAGCGCAACGAGTTGACTTGTGCACCTTGTAAGATCAACTGTGGGAAATGGAGTTTGCCATATTTTGCAGTCTCCCGATTGCTTATGTAGGTAATGTAATAATGCGTCGGTATACCATGGCACCGAGATTTTTTTTAGCTTCAGGATAACGTAAAAGTTTAAGAAAAGAAATTAGGGTAATTTGTAGGTCATTGCATCTTACTTTATTCAATTTTTTTTACAGGAATGGGTGTGGGAGCGGACGCTGGTCTCGAAAAGCTTGGGATATTCGTGAAAACAATCACTGAGAGTGGGGCGGCCGCTCGGGACGGTCGAATACAGGTCAACGACCAGATTATCGAAGTGGATGGCAAAAGTTTGGTGAGTGATTTTTATCACAATATTTCGTCTGAACTATCAATTTATTGCCACTTCAGCTTGCTAATCCGTCGGGCTATGTCAGCGACTTTGGTTCGTTTACGGATCTCCTCATTTCTGATTCGATCTCTCAAAGAAACACCAAGCATAGCCCTCTCCATGGGCAGGGCACATAGTACGCAGAACTGACGGCCGATGGGGCAGAAAGGTTCTGGAATGGAGGCCACGTACCGGAAAACGCAGCGTGGGACGTCCACCTACAAGGTGGACCGACGACATCGTAAAGGTAGCAGGGAAGCGCTGGACGCAGGCCGCTACCAATCGATCAACATGGAAAGTATTGGGGGAGGCCTATGTTCAGCAGTGGACGTCCTGTGGCTGAAATGATGATGATGATGATGATGATCAATTTATTGGAGCTACCGAACGAGATGGAGGACTGTTGTGGGCGCCCTCTGCCCCATCTAGGGGACATAGGACCTTAATTCAAAGTAAGTCATCCGCTTAGTGGGGGGGCTATAACGCCAAGAGACTAGTTGGCCATGTTACGAAGCATGCTTATAAAATCACACATTTGTGAATTGAAGCCCCGCCCGTACTGAATAGCTCTTGACTTCGAATGCGATCATTTCGTAGTCAAATGGTCGTAGAATCTTGTCATCTTGCTTGGCGTAAATAGTTGCCAGCGTTATGGATACTCTTAGTAACGTAAATGTGTTTTATCAGGTGGGCGTGACGCAAGCGTACGCAGCGTCAGTTCTTCGCAACACGTCGGGCCCGGTGAAGTTCCTGATCGGGCGCGAGAAGGACCCCGACAACAGCGAGGTGGCGCACCTCATCCGCCAGTCGCTGGCCGCCGACCGCGAGCGGGAGGAGAGGTGAGTGCCAGGGGGCGTGGCCAAGCGTACGCAGCGTCAGTGCTTCGCAACACGTCGGGCCCGGTGAAGTTCCTGATCGGGCGCGAGAAGGACCCCGACAACAGCGAGGTGGCGCACCTCATCCGCCAGTCGCTGGCCGCCGACCGCGAGCGGGAGGAGAGGTGAGTACCAGGCCAAGGGGTGTGGCCAAGTTTGGCCTAAAGGTCACTGCACACTTATCAACCCGTGCAAGGATCATCACATCTTCGTTGTCCATCAATTAGCTATTGCGCTTCACCAAATGACTTCCACAGCCAGTGCTGGACAAAGACCTTCCCCAAGGATTTATTCTATGAGCAGTCCTGCTCGCCTTTACCACTGATTATTGTATAAGCAATCACGCGTATGTACTGGTGTACGTCACGCAAGTGGTTATGTGTCATATAGGTCCGTGATATAAGGTCAGAAATTCGTAGAGATCCAATGTGGTTTGCCTTAACTGGTGGTCACCAAGAAGACTATCTCATTCTATAATTTAAGTTACATTTCGTTTCGTTACTTGGTAACGAAAGTAACTAATAATATTGTTCGTTCGTTTCATCCGAAAGACGTCCACTGCTGGACAAAGGCCTCCCCATCATCCATCCAGGCACCTCCCGCGACCTTCACCAGAACGTCGGTCCACCTAGAGGGAGGCCTGCCTGCTGTGTTTATTGTAAATTGTATGGCCGGGTTCCCACTATGCCGGACCGGCATTTCTGCCGGAAACCGGACACCGGACAAGGGTGTTCACATTACACCGGATCACCGGATCCGAAATCCGAGCCGAATGAAGTGCGGGGAGCACAGGCGGGGCGGGAAGCACGGGCGCGGCGGGGTGGGCCGCAACTCGTTCACATTACTCCGGTCCGGTGATTTTGCCGGCATTTTGTAGCGACAAAACGCTCGGTAAAAATGCCGGGCTCGGCGAAAAAGCCGGATCCGGGATAATGTGAACAGCTTCATACAATTTGTACCGCCGCTAGGCCTTCCGGCGATTTTACCGGACCGGGAGATCTGCCGGTCCGGCATAGTGGGAACCCGGCCTATCTTATCGCGTTTACCTTAAGCTTGCATTCTCTCTGCAGGGCGGGTCGCGAGCGCGCGCGGCGGCAGCAGAGCGAGGAGCAGGAGGAGCGCGCCGCCGAGCCCGCGCCCGCGCGCCACCCCGACATCAACGACATGCGCGCGCTGCTGCAGGAGGTAACATGATAAATTACATAATTTATCGAACTCGGTAACGTCGTCGGTAACTAATAAATACAGTGTGAGTCACGTTACAGTGTACATATGAAATTAGATGAAACTAGACCTATTTTTATCGACAAAAAAGAAGTCAAAAATATTTTGAGATTTAAAAAAAAAATATAGATTTTTTTTCTCCCAATTATTTATTGTAAAGAAAACGTAATAACTTTTAAACTAAGCGATATATCCTGAATCCTGATAAAATAAAAACAGTAATAATGCTAAATGACAGGCGATACTAAAAAAATACATAAAATACACAAAAAATGCCAACAAATAATAAAAAATGATACTTTTTGAAAAAAAAAACTGCTTTTAAATTGGTGTTTTTTTGGTTATTTGATAAATTTCTCCAAAAAATGCCCCTATATTAGGTGGTTTTTATTACTTTGTATTATTCTCTATCGTATTATCTTTGTAAAACCAAAAATCCCATGTCTCTATCCCTATCACAACATTTGCTATGATCGTGGAAGGAAACGGTGTAGCGCAGCAAGATTTAAGAAGAGTAAGGAGCTCGCTACGTGTCTTATCACTGCTTATTTTCCTCACATACTGCGAAGTGACGTGTACACAGTAACCTTCACATATAACTTTGCTTACAGCTGGTGGGCATGGAAGCCGGTGGCGCGAGCAGCGAACAGATCAGCGGGCGACTGCGCTCCTGGTGCTCCGTGCGTGCTCCGTCAGACCACCTCGACGCCGCGCACCGCGCGCAGAGGAAGTACGACAAGGTGGGTCAATGACCTCCGTCTGCGCAGAAGCGTCTCAATGGCGCGCGCAAGCTGGCGCAGCGAACGATGACAATTCACAGGGTGTTCTGCGCTTGAAATTGTGTGATATTGTAGCGCGTATCGTGTTTTCATCATACCACAGAATAATTTCTTCGCAAAGGTATTTTAAAAAATATCTACTCAATATCGTCAACAATATGGTGCAATTTAACTTGCCTCCGAGTCGAGCATCGTTTCGTTTACATACTAGAGTTACATGCAAGCGAGTTTTACTCTAACAGTGATCTGTGTCACTGCTCTCTCGTGAATTCCTTGCGGATTAGCCATTCCGGTGTTTTTTGTTTTCGATGCCTACTCGGGGAGATAAACATGCCTGGTCATACCCAAATTCATTTTTAAGACTGAAATAAGTGAAACAAATGAGTAAATGTTGTTTATTCCAGGCCCGGCGTGCACTGCGGGAGTGGCGGCGCACGCGCGCGATGGTGCGCGCGCGCGAGGAGTGGTGGAGCGGCTCGCTGCGGGACGCGCACCGCGAGTACGCCGCCGCGCTGTCCGCGCTGCACGACCGCGTCGCGCGCCTCGAGGTGCTGCTGCTGGTGAGCGAACAACATGTACTACACACGCGCGCGAGGAGTGGTGGAGCGGCTCGCTACAGGACAACATAGGCCTCCCTCAATGACTTCCACATCGCCCGGTCGGTAGCGCCCTGCATCCAGCGCCTTCTTGCTACCTTAATGAGGTCGTCGGTCCACCTTGTGGATGGACGTTCCACGCTGCGTTTTCCGGTATGTACTGGCCTCCGCTCCAGAAACTTACTGCCCTATCGACCGTCAGTTCTGCGTATTATGTGCCCTGCCTATTGCCACTTCAGCTTGCTCAATCCGTCCAGCTATGTCAGCGACAGCGTTCGTTTACGGATCTCCTCATTTCTGATTCGATCTCGTAAAGAAATACCGAGCATAGCCCTTTCCATAGCACGCTGTGCAACCTTGAGCTTCTTCTATCAATAAGCAACACTAGTGTCCAGCTCAGTACTTTCACTCGCGACTTTGACTTTCGGGATTCACACCCCGATTTTAAACTACATACTAGGTATTCCTGTAAAACCCGTTTTTGTTACAGGAGACGCAGAAAAAAGCAGGGCTGCCTGTGATGTTGCCGCATGAGCCGTCGGCGCGCCGCGAGACGCCCCCGCTGCCGCGCCGCCCAGACCCCGACCCGCTGCTTATTAACGGTTATTTTACATTCTATACTTTTACCAACTGACTGATAGGCATGCCAAATCTAAAACTAGAAATAAAATTGACGTTAGACTGTTCACGGGTGACTTTTAGCACCTATTTGTCACCGTGACAGTATATCTTTTTCTTTTACACTTTTGTAATGAGAAAAAGAGAAACCTCTGCCACGGTGCGTGCGCGCCTTTAGACTCAACCTCCTCCTTCAATAAAAATATGTTTTCTTTTGCAGATCCATGGAGTTCTGACAGCGACTTATCTGATTTATCCCCCGTGGAAGACGAATACGCGAAGGTGGATAAATCGGACCGTCGCCGTGAGGCCCCAGACCTCGGCGACGTGACGGCGACGACGGCGAGCGAGTCGCGGCCGAGCACGACCGCTTCGGACGTTACGGTCGTCAGCACGGCCGCGCCGCCGGCCGCCGTCACCGCCACCGCTGCGGTGCCCGCTCCGGTCGCTACTCCGGCTCCGGCTAACGTCACGGATAGATTGTGAGTTCATCAATAGCACGTTCACTACGGTGATTAATCCATTTTACAACAAACTAGACAGTGTTACTTTAATTGATGTTTATTGTCCGTGGTTTATATCTTTTCTTAAAGGTTATTAAACCTTTGTTTGTCAACTGTCATTAGCTTTGCACTTGAGGGGAAGTCGAACCTTAACTTCGACTCCTCCTATGTTCTTCTTGAATTTCGTTGCGGGTCCAATGACAGTTTAACTTTCCCCGGGACAAACTTGGCCTTCACTGGTTGGGTTTTTATTGTCGGTTTTATCCTGGCTACGCAGGAATTGGAGCAGTGGAAACAAGAGGTCAGAATAGTACCGTTAAAACTAGATAGTGCCTATTCACTCTTACCTTACGTCTAGTTCCACGAAGGTAAAAGGAAGATGGTGCAATAAGGACTAATTCATACAGATATCACATAAAAGAAAACACTAGCATCTTAGGTTGGTGTTAGTTTGCGATAAAGCCTGGTCCGTGAGCACGTAGAATCCCGTCCAATGACCCCAAGCTCACGCGTAATTATGTTGCTGTCGCGCTCGCACACTCACTGCGGGCGCCCGTCGCGACAGCAACAATAATTACGCGCGAGCGATAGGGATGGCGCGGGTGTCGTAAGAGGCGACTTAGGGACTACAAATCAAACAGAGAATGGGCAGCAGCGATATCTAAAAAACATCTATCTTTTAAACTGCGATCTCCAACCCGCCTGCCAAGCGTGGAGATTATGGCAAAACCCTCCACTATAGTGGAGGAGGCTCATAGTCCAGCAGTGGACTGTAAAGGGCTGTTGATGATGATGATGATGATAGGGATGGGTAGCTTGGGGTCATTGGACGGGATTCTACGTGCTCACGGACCAGGCTTTAGACATTCACGATCTGTTTATCCACAGAATGGCATCATCCACCTCGAGCAGCGGCATGGCCACGAGCGGGACGAGCAACGGCAACTCGGCAGGCGGCGGCGAGCCAGCCCCGCGTGACGCGCCGGTGTCCCGCGAGCCGCCCGTGCGGGACACGTCGCGGGAGCTGGACGCGGCCGTCCCGCGCGGCGCGCTGCTGGACACGTCGGCGCACCGCGCGCGCACCGACCTGGCGCGCCACCGCCACCACGCGCCGCACTCGCCACACTCGCCGCATTCGCTCAGCAACGCCAGCTCTGTAAGTGCACGTATACACGTCATTATTATACGGACTGGCCCGCTGAAACCATGTCACTTACAAACAAAATAAAGTGTAAATTGTTATCAGGTAGACAGTGTTAGAGTAAGCAAATTGAGGTAGGTATAATGTAATCGCTGAAAAATAGCAAGAATGGGCTCACCAATCACTTTTGCAAGCAAATGATTTCATAGATTTAGATGTTATGTCGTTAATCTTGATGTGTGATCTGTGATCTTCACAAATGTTTGCGAAAGAGATGACAGTATCGGTAGTCTTGTTCATACCGTTATCAAAAACTAAAATTATATTAATCTCTTTGCAGTATGATGGACTCGACGACTCGTACAACGATTCGGCTGACGAGTCTCTAAGTGAATCGACATCGGGAGCTCCTCCCCACACAGCACACTCCACTATGAGTGTAAGTATCTCATTACTTTATAATGTTTGGCACGATATTCATTTAGGCCAACGCTCGCCCAGTAAGCCAAGACTGAATTTGAAATGTTTTCTTTAGCGAGACACTCGGCAAAGCTGCGGCAGTTCCATAGGTAGCGCGACCGACGACGCCGTGTATTCCCGCGACCATCGCCACCACCCGCTGGCCGGTAAGTGTGTGGTGACCCTTAGTTTGATCAATTTAATCGAAATTGTCCGTCCACGTGTGCTGGCTTACACTCATCACGTAACACACGCACAAGCTCTTGCAGTTTACGACTAACAATCTAACAATAACTGACATCCATTTAATAAACATTTTATTAAAACAGTTAATAAATAGTATGTACTCAAGTGCTAGTAAATTGCAAGAACAATACATTACACTCATTGGATACACGTAATACAGTGAATGTGCATAACATAATTTCCTGTAGGTGTAAATTACCAATGTATTTGTGAATAATCCAATGCTTTACGTCTCTTGTATTTATTCATGAATCGTGATTAGAAGACAATTTGCCTCCACCCTTGGTGCTTGACAGCCTGCATATACGTCGTACCTAGAATACATACTAGAAATACAATAAATAATATTATTACAATTATTTCTATTATTCTAGTAAGTATAGCCTGACCAGGAACATAAAAACCCTCGCCATGTTGCGGAAAACTAATGGTACTAATTTCTTTTAATGGCAACAGTAACTGAAAACTTCATTGACATGTCACCTTGCATGTCAGTCTATTGCTGTCAAAGTGTAAACAAACTTTATTTTAAATGTGCGCTATTGATTTTGTGAATTAAATTGCTAAAATCTTTTTATAGTCGTGAAAGAAAAGTGGTTTACAACGTGTTAAAGTATTTGTCGAAGAGAAATACTAAGGGTTCGGACAATATTTTCATTGAATAATGTTTCCGACAAAGGTTGTCAAATTGACTGACATGTTTATCGCATAGTACAGTCCACTATGAAAATTTGCTGTGGTTTGTTTCAACTACCTATTTTAAAAAAAATTGTCACTTTCTAAGTGTTGAATTTTATGGAATTGGGAAAGAAGTACCGAGTTTGAAGCGTTCATGAGCAAACATTGCAGTTGAATATTCAAGTTCTGAATTTGATTATTGATGAATAATAAAATAAATCCTAGTAGCTCGATTGATGGTTTCATTTAATTTATTTAAACCAGGTTACCTATAATAATATTTTTTCGTTAATTTATGAAAATATCAAATTAGCCCGTAATCCTGAATCCTGATACATAAAGTTAGCCTATTAATTTAACACAGGTACGACTGTACTCAGTGTTGCACTATCAAATGCAATTGACGCGCCTCTATGCCAGGGTTTTTATGTTCCTGGTCAGGCTATACATAATAATATAATCTATTTACTTACTTTTTCGTTAATGCCTGTTATCTATTTTGGATTTGATAAAGTTAGTAAATGTAGAAGATGAGATGTTTTTATGTAAAATCAGTATTTGCTTGAAATAATTATTATAATGAAAAAAAAAATACGTTTATTGATTTTGGTTATCACTACAAGTGATAGACAGCAGCAATATTACTGAAAAACAAATAAAATACGCTGGAAACATACTTCTGAACTTAAAAATATAGCAAATTAATCTGTAAAAGAATTCCACCATACATAAGACAGTCTGGATGCTGATAGCTTGATGGAAGACGTTACGATCGAACCGACTCGCTGTCACCGGCCATCGGCAGTGACAGTTGCGCGCAGTGGCGTAGCTAGGTAACCAAGGGCCCTGGGGCAAATAAAAAAACGGGGCCCCACTGCAATCTAAACTGGTTAGGTTTTATCAAATTTATTGACATTAAGCTTACTTACTCCTGATAGAGCTTTCGAATTTCTCTATTTATTTTAAAATGGGAGTTCAGTTCAATAAGGGTTTTCGCGATTGAAAAAATCGCCAGATGGCAATACGTAGACGGGAGGTCCAAATGCTGCATGATTGGTTATTTTTGACATGACATTGACAGATATGTCAAAATCCACCAATCATTTATTTATTTATTTATTAGGTCTACCAACATTGTTACATAACAACATGTACACTTAAAAATAACAATTATGAACAAAGTAATCATGCAGCATTTGGAGATTTTCTGGTAAGGATTCGGTGGCCCCCTGAGCTTTGGGGCCCCCGGGGCACTGCCTTAGTAGCTACGCCCCTGGTCGCGCGACGTATAACGTGACACGTGACGCGAGCACGAGACTAACCGGCGGGTGTGGGCGTAGGTGTGGGCCCGCCCGCGTCGTTGGCCGAGCAGCTGAAGCAGGTGCTGGCGGAGCGCGAGCGGCGCCTGGCGGGCGCGTCGCCGCCGCACCAGCCCCACCAGCCCCACCAGCCCCCGCAGACCCACCAGCCCCACCCGCCCGCGCACCCCCACCCCGACCCCGTGCAGCTCACCAACGAGCTCGTGGACGAGATCCGCCAGGCCGTCAGCGAGGCCAACGCGAGAGGTCGGTGATCACACGCGTTAGGTGACCCCTTGTTGACCATGCGGCGATAAATAAAATAGGGACAAATAAATTTAAAAAAAATCAAAATCAAAAATATTTATTCAGTTTAGACCACAAGTGGCACTTATAAACGTCAAAATATAGTAAATAATAAAAAAAAGTAGCCCTTATGAGGCACTTTACATGTCTCCTTATCTTTTGGGCCCTACCAGCGCTTCCAGACAAACATATGGCAAGTGCTGTGAAGAAACGTTCATAAAACTCATTTATTTATGCAAGTATAGGCTTTTAAAAAGCACTTTTACGATCACCGTCACGGGATTTTCAATTAATATCAGTGAAATGTGTGATAAATAAACAATCGAAAACATTTACTGTGCAATGTGTCATTTAATAGTACGCTGAAATATGTTCAATATAACAGCATTTTAACAGTTCATTACGTTGATCTGGCAATGGAAATCGCAACGGTTTCAAGCCGGTCTAGTATTGAACTAGCTGATGAGAGTTTATGTCGAACACCTACTTTTTTGATAAGCGACAAAATATCAGGAAATGTGGTCTTGACAAATTATACAAAAGTGACCGTTTTAAACAAAGAAGGCAAACTATCTTCTTCTTCAATTGGCTTATAACAAACACTAATTTATTATTTACCTTATATTAGTTCTAACATTATTTAGAGCTTCTTTATAGATAAATGTTTTATACTCAGTGTACCTTCTACAATAGTGTAATGTAACCCTAAAGTCTATCGTTTAACAAGGGCTCACCTAACATAAGAAACTAAACAACAAGAAACGACTGATTCATTAAGATTATGCAGTCTAGTGTAGGGAATAAGGCAGGGAAATCTTGAGGTTATGTGTAAATACATATTTTGTTTTATTTCTAATTCTCTTATATTATCCTATTTCTTCTATTATTCTTCTTCTTCCTCTCCCTTGGCTGCTGATCACTGATTCTTGCACTGTAGACTGGGACTGTTTTTTTGAATGACTTCTTAATTATTTTTCATTATATGTTGCGACACTACTGCTTATTTATTTACGTTTTTGTGGGTTATGGGTATTCTGTAACATTTAATGTAAAATTGTGTTGGTTGGGGGATATTTTTGTTGTGTTGGGTCATTTTTTATCTTCTACAACTCAGTTTTTCACATATTCTTTTCTTACTTCTCTTATTGAAAACTTGTATTAATGAATGTTAAAAAGTTAACGTCCTTGCCAAATGTTTTTTAACAGCAGACAGTTAAAATATTCGCATCAGTTAACACACAGTCAGTAGGTAACCTATCAGGAGTTTAACTTAGACGCAATTAGGTAGGTAGCATAACAGGAGTGTCGGCTTATTTGATTCGGATGTGGTTATAGTGAAGAAAGCTCCGGCTTGCGTAGTCGGCGGCGAGGTGCCGTGGCAGCCGCTGTCCACCGCCGTGTCGGAGAGCAGCCTGTCGCCGCCCGCGCCGCCCGGCCCGCCCGCGCCGCACCCGGTCAATCATTGGACTAAGCAGCAGGTCAGTTATGCATTTATTTTTACTATAATACCTGGGATATGAAGGTTTTTAAAGTGATGAAATTCGTGGTTTGAATTTTCTAATGCGAGCTCGAAAGAAAAGCAATGCCCGTGCCAGCGATTTTATATGTTCAGGACCAAATTATGTCTGCCTTGCTGGCATTTAAAATTCTAAATAAAAACTACTTTTATTAAATCCCAAAATATCCGTCGTATTTCTGATTTGTTGTGTGGGAGTGGAGCTCATATTCATATCATTTGATAAAAAAAAACATTTATTTTCTTTTTTGTTCTAAGTTGTTCAATGGAACAAAAGCAGACGGGTAGTTATGTATAATCATTGATGCAGTGACGGTAAAGATGTGTTGTACCCCAGTAATTTTGTTCTGTCAGACAGAATACAAAGAAAGGTACATACTATCAAATTTGTAGTTCCGTTTTGCCCGATCACGTCATGTTCCATAAAAAAAAAGGGTCCTAACGAATATTAGTGTAAAATAAAATAGCGGACTGTATAAAAATAGGTGCTGTATTTTCGCCAGCCTAATTACAATAAAATTATCTAGAACTACGCGGTAATCGTGCGTCGACGGTGGTGTCCAAAGGCGAGTGTGTGAGCCGAGCGCGGCCGATGATGACGCTGTCGGCCCGAGGTGACGTTAGTCATCGTACGCCGTCCGCACGTCTCCTCCCGCGCGTTGTTGGCTTCCCAACATAATTATTGAGTGTTGATATTTGTCGTGTGCAGGTGTGGCAGTGGGTGTCGGGTCTGGGCGAGGGCTTGGAGCGGCACGCGGGCGCGTTCGCGGCGCGCGGCATCGACGGCGCGCTGCTGCTGGCGCTCAGCTCGGCCGACCTCAAGCTGCTCGGGCTGCCGGGCGACGAGCGCCGCCGCATGAAGCGCCGCCTCAAGGAGCTGCGCAGCGCGCACGAGAAGCACCTCAAGGCGCTCAAGAAGGCCGAGAAGAAGGCCCGCAAGAAGTAGCCGCCCCCGCCCACACGTCCCCGACGGAACTCGTGAGTGCGATAAAGCCTCGATCACATGTACCGAGTAAACGGGCGAGACAGTGCTCTCGTAGTAGTAAATGTATGAACATACGCACCGAGTACTCGGCCGAGAGCACTGTCGCGCCCGTTTGCTCGGTACGTGTGATCAAGGCATAAGGAACGGTGGCCGGCTGCCTGAGAGCTCTTGTAGCGTCTTGTACAGTCCGCGTCAAATAGATCGTGACACCTTTGGGTGTAGCTAAAAAGTTCGCAACACGTCTTTGTTACAATTGGAATAAGGTTGTGTTATCAACTTTTTGGTCACTTTGGTTGTCACGCACCATTTGACGCTGATTGTACTTGAAAAAAAAAAATACTTCCTTCAATTCTTTTTGAATTTTGAACTATGTACCTACGTGCTGATTATATTATCTTACGTTTCTATTACGAAACCTTGCCAGCAAAACTAATACACAACTCCGTGTTTAAAATGGGATTAGTAACGTGATAGAATAAATGCAGATTTGTATGTTCATAGAGTTTCGCGGCAAAGGTGTCATAAAGCAATCAGAAATATGGGAAAATTGACACTCAAAACTTTTGGGCTCTTTTGGACACTCATCTCTCAAAGACGCTACAATTAGTGCTCAGTACGCAGAGTTGCCATAGTTCCTTACCAATTTTAATATCGCACTATCGATCAAAATTAAAATACTGTTTAGTCATATTATAATAACTTACGTTGATTAAATACCTACTAAATCTAGAGTAATTATATTATTATTCCTCGGAAATGAGGGGACGGACGCCGCGCTCGCACAGTTTAGTCTGCCCACGTTCATGTTCTTTTAGTCGCCTTTTAGGGCTTGGCTACGTTTGTCAAATGATTTCTTAAAAAGCTAAAACTAAATAAAAATACATCGTCTTACTCACTGTAACTGTTCTAGTTGTTTTTCTTCCTATTTCTTTTCATGTACATACTATCAAAAACTTGAAGTCTGTTTCATCTCTCTATTTTCGCTCATTTATATTTAGATAAAGATAGCACGACGACCGTTTATAGAAAATGTAGTTGGGTCCTAAGAGGTTCCGTCAACGACTGGCGGCGACAGCAGCGCGAGCGCGGCGTGGGCGGCGGCCGCGGCTGCGCCGATAGCGTACAGAGTGCCATCTGACCTATAGCTTAGAGTTTAGAGACGTTAGTGCTGCTTCGAACGAAGAAACGAATATTATTAATCGAAAATTAGGTGTAAGCGTGTAAGGAACAGGTTTAGTAGAAATACATATTTATTTAGACTGTCTGCAGTAATCTACCCTATATGCCGTATTTAATCTTTTGACAGGTGTTGCGTTTGAAACGATAAATTTATTCGACGTTCCTACCTTTTGTATTAATTGTGTCAGGTTTTCTTAACATTCGGTGTGAATTGATGGACTGTAGAAAATTACTGGCTCAATCTAGTCATAAGATGAATTGTAAACAGTTTGAAAGTCATGAAGTAACTCGACATTTTCTTAGAAATTTTCGTATAATATTAAGATTTATTAGAAAGTAACTTTCATGTAACTATGTATTACTATGTCAAATCTATGTATTAACACTATGTAATTTATTTATATTTCGTAATCAGAAAGCAATGCAAATTGATTATGGTTACTTTGGCATTTATTTTCAAAATGATTGCACAAAAGGTACTTAGAAATACGGTAACTTGTCGCTTGTTGCCAACCTTAGCATATAAAGTTTGTCATTAAAAATAGTCAAGTATCATTTCATCAAGCACGTGATCTCATTTCATGTAAGGATACTAGCATCCATCCTGTCATCTGCATTCAGTATTTGTAGAGCAACAAATCGTTATCAGTCCTTGTAATGAAATGCAATCTTCATGATTTATTATACATTCCAACACTCTTGATAGTTGTTTCAGTGTGGGGTTTTTATGATTTAGAGAACTTTATAGTTTCATTAAGTGACATAAATATGATTTATCAGTGTTGTTGTCCGTGTGTGTTTGGTTCTTTAGCGGCCGTCATGTACATAGTCTCGAGCGTGGACTGAGTGGGGCTACGGGCGTGCTTGGACTGCTGCATGACTGGATGTACCCTGTACATTTAGTGTATTTATTTCATTTAAGATTAATATTAATATAAGTAGAGCCCATTAACCATTGCCAAAATTTAACAGTACTTTGTTTAATATTGTTGATTTTTAATTTACATTTCCCTTAAATTATTTTTATATTTAATTTGGGACCAAATTAATTTATTATGACTTTTTACTTATTTTATGTATTTGGGTGTGTGTTCAGGAGAAAGATTTTTTATTTATAATTTAATAAACAAACCAAAGTCTACATCATATTGTTTTTTACTGTTATTATTCAGTGTGAACAACATGTATAATATTATGAGATGGTGATGAAAATATAATCTGCAGTGTAAAATTGAGTTTTCTTTTTTTTATGTGTGTAACTTGATGCAAGTGCAGGCTATCAGATGATGATGACGTTTTAAAAAACATGCTAATGATGATTAATGTGTTCTGATGCTCTTCTCTTAAAATAACTTGTGACCATTATTAAAAGAATTCCTGGTTTTCTTTTGGGAGATAATATTTATCCAACAGGTAACAAAGTAAAACAATTTACATTTAAAAAAATGTGCTGTAATGAATTGGTGAAAGAATAAAGACAGGAGAGTAACTTTGCTCTTTAACTGTTAGGCAATCAATTTTATTTTGATATTGTGTAATTTGATTTGATTTCTATTCCTGTCTACTTTGTGACTATTGTGAATTACATAGGCATTCTGGGTTAACTTGTGAAAACAATGATTTCCTGTAGTCTGTAAACATCATAAGTATCTATTCTCAAAACGTTATTTAAATAAATAAAAAATAATCCTTTAGAACTTAGAAGATACACTTTAACATCTCATCTTCTTTACATCACAACTAGCGCATTTATGTACACTTGGAAGTTATTTTATCTCATTATTTAATTACCTATTTTTTTTGTTTTATTTTTCTTATTACGTTTTCTCTTTTTAAATATCTTTGATGGTGGTTCATCTGATTTGGTGTTTTCTGTTTCATCATCGTATGATATTCTCACAAAAGCTCCTGGTTTTCTTTTGCTTTGTTTAATGGTTACACTTTCAGCCTCAGAGTCTGAATTGGATTTAACACTTTCATCAATGTTATCTTGTTTTTTAATTTCGTCCTCATCATCTGATTGGTCTTCTTTTTTTATTAAATGGCTTTGCTCATTTAATGTTACACAAGTAACCCTGCATCCTGCATTATTTGAACAAATTTCTAATAAGTTTGATTCATTATCAAACCACACTTTCAGTTCTCCAGAACTTGATGCCGAGTACAAAGTGTTATTTTCATAATGTAAGCTCTTTACTCTCTGCTTATGAGCTTGAAAAGTTACAGCCTTTGTGTCGGATACTGTCAAGGATATTATGTTGCCATTTTCTAAACCAACAAATAATCTGTCATCTGTAACCCACTGCACTGATGTTGGTTTTGAACTGCAACTGATATGCTTCTCCACTCCTGCTTTGCTTAAAGTCCAAAGATCAACACATTGCTGATGAACTAAAGAAAACCTGTCGCCTCCAGGTGAAAATTTAATTTCTGTAGGCATTACAATTCCTTTGCTAGAAAGATTAATAGCAAATGCTGGACGCCCTTTGATCAAATTCCATGTCCTGAGAGTTTTGTCACCACCAATACTTAAAGCTAATTTGTCTGAAGGATGAACTGCAATTGCTGTGACTGGTTGACCTGTGAGTAAAACAATTAATTTTGTAGTATGTCCAATAAAGTAAGTACAAATAAAACTTAAGACATTTTGAAATAAATATACAAATTACAAACCTCCATGTGCTTTTTTCCAAATTTTCTCAATTTGCCAGTTTCCTGTTCTTGTGACTATGATACTGCCGTCATCGCTTCCACTTACGAGGTGTGTGGCGCCGTGTGTGAAAGCAACCGCATTGACAGTTCCATCGTGGTTCATCAGTACTGTATGTTCTTTTCGAGTCTTCAGGTCTATCACGACAATTTTATCATCAGTGCCACCTGACGCCAGGAACCGACCAGCAACCGAAACACATCGAACTGAAGCAGTATGCGAATGGGTGGCGAAAGTTTGCTTAAATTTCTTTTCCTGAAACAAAAATACCAAATAAATATCGGCCATATAGTGGAAAGGATACTGAATAAATAAGTTTAATTTCAAATGCAAAATTCTGTACTGCGTGGTAGGCAAGGGTTATAGGTTATTTCTTACTTCATTTTCGGATTTCAATGCATATCCAAGCAAAAATCCTTCATAAGTGCCCACAATTAACTCGTCCATTGTGGCTGTTTGATTTTGTTTGTTAGCGAGATAATGTATTGATCATTTATGTTTTAAAATACCCCACGCGCGGCCACAACACTGCACAACACACTGTTTGTGACAGTGACATAGAGCAAAGCGGAGCAAAGTGCTATGAAATGTCAAGTTGACGCAGAGTTGACGGATCACCTATTTTTGTGATGCCAACTGGTGGAGGAAGAAGGTAAACCATGAAGCTAAAGATAAAAATGGAGGGCAGAGTTGGAACAAAAACTTGAGTCAAATACCTACTTATATCTATCTCGCTCTCTGCGGCCCTACCTCTCTTTTTAGTGTGAACTGTAGTATTGCTATCTTCTGATTTAAATCTCCTTGTAAATTCTTCGAAATAGCCAATTCAATAACCAAATCAGAAGTTAAACAAATAAATCATTAATATTTGAAACTAAGATTACCTAGTTAAATAAAAAATCACAAAATTGTCGGCCATTTAGGCTTAATGCGTTGGCGAATCAGGGAATTACAATCCCAATTCCTAGGTAATCGGTACCATGTGGCAACATCGACCCAATCCGGCCCATCATGGCGGTTGTTTACTATTTTGTTTATTAACCAGTTAATTTCGTTTGAGATTGTTTAGAGGAAATAATCATTGTTTTATCACAAGAATTGGTGCAAAATTTTGTAGTGCGTGGTTGCGGTAGTACGTGGTGTCCTGGAAGTGACATAAGATTCCACGCGTAAGTGTTTATTTCGTGATTTCCGACATTGGATCATTGTAAACATTTTTCACATTTTTTACAGTAATTTCTTCCTAAAACGTTTTACCAGTAATTACACTTATCATTTTTAATGATACCTATGTCAAGAAATAAAGATTTTACATTGGTTTCATTGAATTTGAGCAATTTTATATTTTTTGTTTATTTAGAAAGAGCGAGTCTGCCCACAGAGAGCGAGATAGTGATACTTAGTTTGTGCTTCAAGTAGGTATTCGGAGTGTGGCCTCCATTTTTATCTGTAGCTTCATGAAGCTAAACATGGATGTAGTTTACCTCATGAAGCTACAGATAAAAATGGAGGCCACACTCCGAATACCTACTTGAAGCACAAACTAAGTATCACTATCTCGCTCTCTGTGGGCAGACTCGCTCTTTCTAAATAAACAAAAAATATAAAATTGCTCAAATTCAATGAAACCAATGTAAAATCTTTATTTCTTGACATAGGTATCATTAAAAATGATAAGTGTAATTACTGGTAAAACGATCAGATGTCGATGATCTGGCTGGTAAGATGATCCAATGTCGGAAATCACGAAATAAACACTTACGCGTGGAATCTTATGTCACTTCCAGGACACCACATACTACCGCAACCACGCACTACAAAATTTTGCACCAATTCTTGTGATAAAACAATGATTATTTCCAGTAAACAATCTCAAACGAAATTAACTGCTTAATAAACAAAATAGTAAACAGCCGCCATGATGGGCCGGATTGGGCCGATGTTGCCACATCACATGGTACCGATTACCCAGGAATTGGGATTGTAATTCCCTGATTCGCCAACACATTAAGCCTAAATGGCCGACAATTTTGTGATTTTTTATTTAACTAGGTAATCTTAGTTTCAAATATTAATTATTTATTTGTTTAACTTCTGATTTGGTTAGTGAATTGGCTATTTCAAAGAATTTACAAGGAGATTTAAATCAGAAGATAGCAATACTACAGTTCACACTAAAAAGAGAGGTAGGGCCGCAGAGAGCGAGATAGATATAAGTAGGTATTTGACTCAAGTTTTTGTTCCAACTCTGCCCTCCATTTTTATCTTTAGCTTCATGGGCTATAATCATACATCATAGATCAGAAACAATTGGTAAGTTTTCTTTACTTTACTTACAGGCCAAGCCCAAGAGCTTCCTCGTTGTGGAAAAAAAAAAAAAAAAAAAAAAAAAACTAATTAGGCAAAGAAATCATAGACTGCTCTCTCAACAGAACGCTGTGTTTTAATAACCCTAAAGCTTTTTAGGGTTCCTTAGACCCAGAGGGACCCTAATTCTAAGATTTTGTTTTAAAAACATTAAATTACTCATACATAATGAAGGTAAAAAAAAACTTAAATTGCTCATCAATAGAGTTTTCTTTTTGGGCTGAGTAGGTAAATAAATGATTTGGAGAATTTGAAGACGATACGATACGGTACGATGTAAAATCTTTGGTTAAAATACGAAATAAAATTTCTGAACGAAACTTAGGCAAGGTAAAATAATAAAAAAAAAATACAAAAAAAATGACAGCGTCAAATCTGAAGAAGCAAGCTTCGTATTGGTTTCTATTTTATTTTGGAAATTAGCTTGCAATTAATCAATTGGATGGATATTTATGTAATTAGCTAGTTAGAAATAAATTGTTTTCCGATAGTTAGTTACCACATACAATCATTCTGGTGAGTGGTGTTTGTGAATCAAAACATCTTGTGTGCAAATGTCGCTATCGATCTGCATTTACATCGACATTTAAAATGTGTATTTAGTGTTTATTTTTTTCGACAAAGGATTCCCAAAAGAGGACTTATTTGGACATCTACAAGATGGATCTGGCGGAGACCATGAAGAGCGTGCTGGCGAAGAGCACGGGCGGCTCGGGCGGCGCGGCGGGCGCCAGCAGCGCGGCGGCCCCGCACGGCGCCGAGGGCTACGTCACGGAAAAGCTGTACATGCTGCTGCAGCTCTATTTACAAAACAAGGGCTGGAGCCCCAGTATAGAACTTTTACAATGCTTTAGTGACCTCAAGGAATCTTCTATGCTTCCAAGTGCAGCTTATTTGCAGTAAGTCAAAATTTCATTAGGATAATTTGTTCAGCTCCGTCGGTATATTCTAGAGAGTATAGATATCTACATTTGGTCAGATTTTTTAAATGTACATTTTTATTTTCAGGATGATGGCTTCTAGAGTAGGTTTGGATACCCAAGGCAGACTGATACTTCGTGAAAATGGCAAAATCATCCTACCATATGAACATTTTGCTAATGCTGTGATGTTAAAACACATGAATGGCCCGCATGGATTGCATTTGGGCCTAGAAGCTACAGTTAGAGCTGTAAGTATTACTTAGATTTGTCATGAATATCAAGACTTTAATTATTACGGAGATAGATTTTGCTTCTGTACAAGCACAAACATGTTAAACAATACAAATCAGTAACTGCTTGGTGTACCTAAGTGGTTACTTTTCATTAGAGTTGTTTCTTTGTAGTGTTGGAAAAATGTTACATGATGATTAATGATTTCTTGTGATATTTCTAATTGGAAATGGTTGTTAAAAACATTTTTATTTATGACTTTAGACGTCCATTGGTTCATATTATATTTTTTTTATGGTTTGAGCACATTTAAGTTTTTTTTTGCCTTGGTGGCCCATTTACATCTTTTATATAAATAATCTCTTTCTGTAATGTCTGTAGAATTTGACAAAGATTAACCTTTATGGACCATGGTGAACATTAATTTTTTCAAGAGCTTTATGATGAAGTATACCATTTGAGTGCAGACCATTTCTGTTATTACTAGAACTTATGCTGTGCGAGTTCTATCTATAGTTGAAGCTTACAAGAAAAGGAACAATATTTGCATCTGCTAAACCTGTATTAGAGAAAGTAGCATGAGTCCTAAAAGTAATATGTTTTATAGAGTTAATAGGAGGAACTTCCAACAATGAGATTCTTCTCTGATGCTTCTCTCATATTTCTCTACCAAGTAATTGTATAATATTTACTAATCTCTCTGTATTGATAAAAGACTAGTGTTGCAAATGTATAAAAGAATTCTACTATTCTATTATAATAATGCTCTTGTTGTGTTTGCAGGTTGTGGAATCATACACAATAGGCCGTGAACAGTTTGGAATGGAGAAGGAATTTATAATTGAGGTGGTCCAAAACTGCCCCAACCCTGCGTGCCGGTATTATAAAAATCAACTAGAGATGACTCAAAAATCAATACAACAGCATCTGTCGCAGCAGCCAACATACATCCCAGGTAAGGGTGCGTACACAAAGGCATATTCTTCTTCATATTGCAGTACAGATAAAAAGATTATTGCAACTAAATTGTTTTACTATAAAGTTGAGATAAGACAATTCACCTATTAGAATTGTAGACAGTAGTATTTGGTTTTAGTTGCAAGAATATTTTGATAGGATAACTTGTCTGTTCTACTGACACACATACTCATTTTTAGTATAAAGGCATGGTTTGATTGAGGGGCGAGTGTTGACGAGACGGATTTTTGCCAGGCCTTCAGACGGCTATATACCGGGCCTACGTCCGGTCGTCAGTTGACATGGTAGACTGTAAAGTTGTATTCATGAACAAGCTGGTTACACATCATATTTGTGGAGGACCGGAACGGGAATCCGGCATCTACCTGATGCTGGATCGGGTAGAAATCGGCTCGTCAACAACCACCCTTATTGTTACTATGGCATGTGTGTGAAATCTTTTTAAATGAATTGATTACTTGCTCTCAATAAGCTAATTTTTTAAACATAACAGTTTTTAAATATAATATTATATTATTGAAGAACTTTTATCAGATTTTTCTAGATTGCTCTCCAAGGCTCAGAAACCGGTTTAGTTATAAAATATATTTAGGATTTCTTTTTTTTGGATTAATTTTATTTTATTTATTTATTTAAAAAATAAATGTTTCAACAGCATTGATTTGTACATATTATCTATTTGATAATCAGTTAAGAACTTAAAAATTGTATTGCAAGATTTTTAAGATCTTTACTAACCAGTTCTGAGCCTTGGTTAGTTTGGCTAACCAAGGGGTGTGGGCGTGATCTTCACATAGTCATTTTATTAAAAAGATATTATTAAAATAGGAAATAATTGAACATATTTTTTACATTTTAAAAATTTAAATAGCAAGTTTAGTGTCTGAATAAAAAAAGAAATCGGCGCGAAGCAGTGCTACTACACTCATGCCATGGTTTACCCTGTAAACCTTCTGTAAACTTTACAGAAATGGTATCATTTATGGGAGCCAAGGACAACGACAATAATGAATTAGACTCGGTGAGTATCTATTGTATAATTTATATTATATTAACATGGAAACATTCAAGGGAAGATCTTAGTTGGATTTCCAGAGTGGAAGAAATGGTGTTATATTGATGGCACTTCCCAATTTGGTATCTGTTTGCTCTACTCTGCAATAGAATTTCCTATGATAAATAAAATTTGTAAATATCTAATTGTCTATTGCATAAACAGCAAGAAATGACTGAATCTTAAACTATTATTACTAGTTATTAAAGTTTCTTAACGATAAGAGTTGCATCTCAAACTAAATACAATAGCTAATAACATCATTTCTATAGAAAGTTCTAACTTGAACTAACAGCCATGTTCACTTACAGGAGTCAGATGCGTCATCCCAGGATTCCCAGACAGCTGATGCTGACAACTCAGACTCGCCACCGCCGGCTGCTCAAATGCAAGATCAGTCGCGATCAGATAATTGCGAAAGACCAAGAAATGCGAGGAAAACTAATGAATCACAAGGAGCTGCTGACGCTACAAATCCTCAGGACGATAAATCTTTCCTTCGATATTTTGACAATGGCTCAGAAAGGTTTCGCTACGATGAGGACGAATACCATTATTTTGCAATAAATATTGCATCTCAATTGCGGAAACTTCCAGTAGTCGAAGCATTATCCTTGCAAGTAGCTATACAACGTGAATTAATTGCCGCTAGGTGTAGAAACATGTTCCCGTATCTATTAACCAACACACCATCAATTCCAGATGTTGACATAAACCGTAACTCTAACGTTCAAAGTGACGTTTACGTAAACCGAAACTACTCTAACGTACCAAGCGACGTTTTCATAAACCGTAACTACTCTAACTTACAAAGTGACGTCCACTTTAACCGTAACTACTCTAACATACCAAGCGACGCTTTCATAAATAACGTACCACGCGACTTTTTCATAAACCGTAACTACTCTAACTTACAAAGTGACGTGCACTTTAGCCGTTATTACTCTAACATACAAAGCGACGTTCTCATAAACCGTAACTCCAACGTACAAAGCGACGTTAACGTAAACCGTAACTCTAACGTACAAAGCGAAGTTAACGTAAACCGTAACTCTAACGTACAAAGCGACGTTTTAATAAACCGTAACTCTAACGTACAAAGCGACGTTTTAATAAACCGTAACTCTAACGTACAAAGCGACGTTAACGTTAACCGTAACTCTAACGTACAAAGAGACGTTAGCGTAAACCGTAACTCTAACGTACAAAGAGACGTTAGCGTAAACCGTAACTCTAACGTACAAAGAGACGTTAGCGTAAACCGTAACTCTAACGTACAAAGAGACGTTAACGTTAACCATAACTCTAACGTACAAAGTGACGTCGGCATGAACCGTAACTTTAACGTACAAAGAGACGTTAGCGTAAACCGTAACTCTAACGTACAAAGAGACGTTAACGTTAACCGTAACTCTAACGTACAAAGTGACGTCGGTATGAACCGTAACTACTCTAACGTACAAAGCGACGTTCTCATAAACCGTAACTCTAACGTAGAAAGCGATACACTTTCAGATCCAATTCGGACCGAAAATACTTCTGCACGTGATGCTTCTGACACTGAAACTGATGCAGGTCCAGATGAAAACATCCAGACTGCAGACAGTCCTGACTCACTGCCTGATTCCAACACTGACACACTGATTCCAAATTCAGCTCCAAATAACCCTTCCGTTACAGTAACCGACTCACGCCCAGTTACATACGCATATCCTGTAGACTATTCATTGCATGTTCCATTCCTTCCACGAGCAGTGGTTAGGGGTGTAGCCCTAAATGCACCTATCGACTATTCGTTATCGTTTGATGACGTTTCTTCATTTGAAGAAGATGAAATGCGCCCAAGTCTAAACATTCCTGTAGACTACACAATTTCGTTTTTAAGACCTAACCCAAAAGCGCCCAGCGCTCATAACAATATCAAAGTTCCATCTACAATCCCTCGCCCGCGACTGCCCTCTGCCCCATACATGAGGGTCAACCCACCTTTCTTGCGTCGTTCTTTAGTTCGACAGCCCCGGACAGTTTCAGCCCCGACCATGAATCCTATGAATGATGATTGGTATCCTACTTCAAGCGCACAATTTGCCCCCCCTCGTACATTTGTAAACACACAACTCGCGCATGCACACAATGTCCCTCTTACAAGGCCGTATTTTGCCTAACTGGCGACGCTTAAAGCCGCTATAATATAATTGTACCTAATTTTTGGTCCACACAAGCAAAAATTTAAAGTTTTATAAGAAAGGGAATGAAGGATGAGGATATTTTTTATTTAAAACTGTAAATAAAAAAACGGAAATAAATACAACTTTTATGGTTCCTATGTGACTAGTCTATTTCCATACCAAAAACTTGAAAATAATAAGATTTTAGGATTTTTTGCCAGTGTACACTGGTGTTACACTGGTAGATCTCTTTACTACAAATGACAACTAATACTAGACTTAAAATAATATAATAATTATATTATGATAGGTATTAGGACCAACTACACAAACAGATGCAATTAGATTACGTTTAGGCGTAAACTTGGTTAGTACCTGGTTTTAATTCATTACAAATATTTAAGATTAATTACAAGTGAGAATTGATTGATTCTACTAATTATTTATTTTAATTAAATGTTATTTTTTAAGTTTGGGTTATTTTTTTATTGTTATGAATTTTTAAGTAATTTTTATATGCGCATAAGATGCATGCACGCTTTTCGTGATTGTATAAGATCTTATAATATTCATGTACCTGGCCTAATGAATTTATAAAATAAAAGATTGCAATTGACTTAGTTTTCGAAAATAAGTGATTTATTGTAGTCAAGATTTTTTTCGAGATTTTAAGACAAGTCCGTCTGTAAAATTAATGTGAAAATACATGTAGAATGTAGGGTCAGCTACATGAATTTCACCAATATTTTATTTTCATATGTTATCAGTGGATAGCATATGAAAAAAAAAAACTAATTTAAGTAATGATATCTCTACGAAACATATTTAGACCGCTATAATAGGTCTAATATAATTATATAAATACAGGACTTATCGATAATCTTGGTTAATGATTAGTATGATTGTGGATTTGGGATAGTGTCCAATGCAAAAGCTGGGTCTGCTGACATTTACCATTGACAACATTTCACAATTTTGACCTATGAAAAATTCAATAAGTAGGTATGTAGGTACAATGGTGACCATTACTGTTATCAGTAACTGATAACTTTTTTGAATCAATGTGATTTGTTGATAACTTGATATTTTTAAAAGCATTTATACATTTCATTACATGATTTTTAGATGTATTTCCATTTTTTTTCTATGTTAGATTAGAACATTACAATAATGTTCAAAATAAATTTTAACAAATTATATTAAGACGAAAACTAAGAAATTAATTTAATTTTACAAGACCATTGCTGTGATTTATTAATTGTATGCAGTTGTTATTTTGTTTATTGTAATCTATTGACCATCTAATGGTCAAATTAACTTTGATGAAATGTTGTCAAGTTAATAATGCTGGGATGTATAAAGTAAAGCGTGCCATATCGGTGTTATAGTATAAGAAAGTATGATCACTTATGATAACGATAGTACTGAATAAACACTTTTCATGATTGACAGTACTGTTTTACTTACCTGCATATAATCCTCTGATATTGCAGCACTCCCAGCCATCTGAAGTGTTGACAATGGTATCCTTCCGTTTGGCCAAATTACTTTTCGCCAAATTTCACTTCGCAAACAACTTATCGCCAAAGTTTCATTTCCCAAATGAACTTTTAGCAACTGTACTTTTCGCAACTAATTCATTTGGTCAAATTATCATTTGGCCAAATTTTACTTGGCAAATGTTTATATAGCAAATGTTTTATGTTGCCAAATATTATATCCCAAATAATTTGTTTGGTCAAATTGACACTTCACATACTTACCCACCGTTACCCACAAATCAAAGCATAAGGCACATGATCATGGTTTTCACAATAATTTTATGTAAAACATTGCAGAAAATAGTATGGTTGCAAAAAGTAGGTATTGCAGAAAATAGTAGGTTAGGTTAGGTTAGAACAGTGACCCTTAATGCGCGAAGGCGAGCGAAGCGTGCCGCGGCAGCGGCCGCCGAGCGCTAGAATCACCTCTATTGTTAATGAATCATTTGGAAATTTCGATAAAAAGAATGAAATAAGGAAATTAATGTAGAACAAATTTTATATTAACTCCCCACTAAACAAAATAATAACCACAAGCTAATTTGTATACCATTCTATGCACCAATCAAATTATTTTGTAAATAGTTTATCGTGAAATATTTTTGCCTAATGAAACATTTGGCAAACCATACTTTGCCAAACAATAATTTGCTAAACAATAATATGCCAAAAAAAACATTTGCGAATTAAAAGTTTGCAATAAGTTGCTTTGCCAAATGAGAATTTGCCAAATGAAAATTTGCGAAACGTTGTTTGCGATGTGATAATTTGGGAAACGTTTTTTGGCCAAACATTAGTAATCCGTTGACAATGCTTAAAGATGTTTTCGGAGACCTAGACTTCTCAATGAAAGTTCAAAAGTAATTATCACAAATATATTTTTCATAAAAAACTTAAATGTTAGAAAGTATGTAGTATCTCGGAAAACTGCTGAAGCATGATTGTTTTAGTATCTTTTTCTCGAATCTTTGTCAGCAATGGATATTATTTGTTCCAAGGGTTTTGTTTTTGTCATTTTTTTTCTCGAGTTAAGTTATATTGTGTTTACCTGTTAAGTTTAAAATTTCCTGCCTGCGAATCTGTTCAACTCAGCATACGCGAGCGTATACCAAGTGTATTCCTAGCTTATAATTGAGCATGTAACGAATGTTATTGTGAGCATGTGTGTGTGTCAGTATCAACATACAGGTGAACCGTTTTGCGTTTGCGTGCCTGTTAAAGCCTGGTCCGTGAGCACGTAGAATTTTGTCCAATGACCCCAAGCCCCAAGCTACCCATCCTTATCGCTCGCGCGTAATTATGTTGCTGCGCACACTCACTGCGGGCGCCCGTCGCACAGTCGCGACAGCAATATAATTACGCGCGAGCGATAAGTATGGGTAGCTTGGGGTCAATGGACAAAATTCTACGTGCTCACGGACCAGGCTTTAGTTCATGTGCGAATGTTTCAGACGCGGGCGCGCCCAGCCTGTCGGACAGCCAGGCGGTGGAGCGGCTGCTGCGCGGCTCGGCGCTGGCGCAGGACTACCAGTTGCCGCTGGCGCCACACCTCGCTGCTCTCAGTGAGTTGCTAAGTAAAAATCATTACGTTTTATTTTATTCTTAATTTATTTATTTTATAGAAACGAACAGCGATACATTGAAAATGTTAGTTATAAGATTTAGACTGAATAATATGATTAATATGAAATACAGACTGTATTATCTATTTACGCCGGTAGCACACTTCTATCACAAAATGTTGTTAGTAAAACTATTTGGACAAACAAGTTTATATTCAGATGTCCATAACGTGGTAGAATGAACGCAGGAATGTGTAGGCGTAATTACTTTTAACATTGTTTTTTTTTTTGTTTTCATTAAGACTCCCCGCAGATTACATACCTACTTAGTCGGCCGATAGCTTGGTCGGGTTCCAATTTGTATGAAAAAATAGGTGTGACCTGCGCACTTTCCTACATGTTCAACTGATTAATAGCTCGACCGAACTATCGGCGACAAAAAGTCTGTAATCTGCAAGGACTCTCTCAAAATTTCGTACTAAAGCCCGGTCCGTGAGCACGTAGAATTTTCGCTCGCACACTCACTGCGGGTGCCAGTCGCACAGTCGCGACAGCAATATAATTACGCGCGAGCGATAAGGATGGGTAACTAGGGGTCATTGGACAAAATTGTACGTGCTCACGGACCAGACTATACAAGTCGTAAACCTCGCTTCTCGTTCCAGGCAGCCTGACGGGCGACAAGAGCGACCGGCGCTCTCAGGACAAGCTGTCGCAGCATCAGCAGATGCTGCTGCACCAGGGCCGCTCGCTGCACGGCGCGCTCGACAAGTACGCGCACTCGCGCTCCGCCTCGCAGGCCGGGCTGGACTCCAAGTCCAAACACCATTATAGTGACGAGCATAAGCTCACGGACTTTTTAAGGTGAGTACTATATCGGCGTTTGTTTCCTTAATTCCTTTTTGTCAGCCGTTTGGTGTAGTGGTTCGAAACGGACTACTATTCCGGAGGTAGCGGGTTCGATTCCCGCACAGTACAAACATTTGTGTGCATGAACATATTTGTTTGTATTGGACTGGGTGTTTTCTATGTATAATGAGTATGTATTTACAAAAAAAAAGTATTTAAGTATGTTTATATCCGTTGTCTAGTACCCATAGTACAAGCTTTGCTTAGTTTGGGACTAGAAGCGCAGTGTAAAATGTACAAGTATATAAAAAAAAATCCTAATTCTTAGAAAATATTATGTTGATAGAACGTTAGTTTTTTTCATTTGCTAGTCACAGCTTGTTTATAAAAGCTAGTTTGCATATTTTATTAATATAGCCTATTGAGAACCAGAAGAAAACATTAAAAACACTACTTTCATTTAGTTTTTCGTTACCATATTTTTTATTCAATAGGAATGTTGAGTGGTAAAAGTAAAAGTAGAATAACAAAATTTAACTTATAATTCGGTCAGTTGTTAAATGGCGTTGCAAACAAACGTATTTGACTGCAATCGCACCTGATGTTAAAGTGAGAGACAGTATTGGAAGTAGGGGTTGCAAGTCCCGGTACTAAGGAGTGTTACTGAATTCCCGGTACCAGGTCTAAGCCAGTACCGGGAAAACCGGGAAATTCGGGAATTTCGGTACCCACGATGGTTATTATTTATTAAAACAAATTACCTAATTTGTACGTCATTTTAATAAAAATGTAAATAGGTTAACAAAAATATTAAACTTTTTCTGTTCAGTTCAATTGGTTTGTTACCTTAATAATAAATCAGTCCAAACAGTTACACAACACGACAAAACTAGTTATAAATGCCTATTAAAAATCATAACCGCCATATTCATAAAAAGCAACAATCGTTTAATCAACCTATTTTAGTTAAAATATGTTTTCTCACTTTCTATCAATGTCAAATACTGGCAGCGCACACCGTTGATTTTTAGTTGGCCGATAGTTATGCCCGATTTTAATTTGTATGAAGAATCGGCCAAATCGAATCGGCGTAGTGTGCGCACTCCCATACATGCCCATACTGATCAACTGCCCGACTAAACTATCGGCCGACGAAAAATCAACGGTGTGCGCCTCCTCTTAGGGACAAAACATAAATTAACTAAATTAGGTTTATAAAAAAACACGCTGTTGAAAGAAATAATAAGTAGTATCTAAGTACAATCAAATAAAACAATCAGTCTTAAAAAGATAGTAATGAATTAGGAATTAATATTTTTTCATTTGTTGATAGTGTGTACGTAAAAAGATGATGGCATCTAGTCAAAAAATTGTTATTAAAAATAAATTATTGAAGTCCCGAAAGTACCGAAAGTCCCGGGAATTGCATCGTCAGTACCGGAACTAGATAAAGGATTAGATTATCGGGAATTCCCGGGAAAAATGAGTACCGGGATTTCCCGGGAGCAAACCCTAATTGGAAGTATACCTAATAAAAGGTAAACACGGTTTATTGACGTCCACACGGACAGACAAGGCACAAAGAATACAGAGTTGCATAGACAAAAGTATAAACTTTTTAATTAAGGCAAAGGGCGGTGTTTACATAAATCATACAGACAGTCTGGTTGCCCTGTAAGTGCCTATTCACTTTAATCCGGGCTCGGATTAAAGTGTTCGGGAAAGACAGTAGCAGGTAGCGAATTCCAGTCCCTAGCTGTTCCAATTATAAAATACTAGCTATCCGCCCGCGGCTTCGCCCGCGTAGAAATTTGTCTGTCACAGGATAACTTTATCACGCGCGTCCGTGCTTCAAAACCCAGGATGAAAACTATCCTATGTCCTTTCTCGGGACTCAAACAATCTCTATGCCAAATTTCATAAAAATCGATTCAGTGGTTTAGGCGTGAAAGCGAGACAGACAGACAGACAGAGTTACTTTCGCATTTATAATATTGGTATAGATTTCAATGTAGGTATTTACTGACGACACTAGTTTTGTAAGCGTTTCCAATCCAATCGGCATTAATTTATCCTCAGAGCGAACTTGGAGAGCCTCGAATCACTATCAACCGGCGGCGGCGGGTCGCACAGCTCGTCCACCGCAACATCAGCGACGGCGACGGCGACGGCGACTGCGGGCGCGGGCGGGCAGGAGCGCGTGGTGCGAGCGTTCGCCGAGCTGGCGCGCAACCTGCAACGCATGCGGCCGTGCGTGCGCCCCGCCATGTGCAAGCCCTACGGCAAGCAGAGCGAGCAGCTGCAGAAGAGTGAGACTCTTTTGTTTCTAACTTTTTATTTTTTGTAAACCCCAATAGTGAAGCTCTAGGTGAAAGCTATTGTACCTATTCGCTGGGTGCGAAGTACTAGGTGGGGGTAACATAATCTATTGCAGCGCTCATGGTGGTCAAAAGTAGAAATAATGTAAGCTCTGTCATCATATGTATCTGTCAATGGCAAAGCGATTCTACATAATACATTTTAATATCATTTATTAATCGCATGAAAATGGTCCTACTGGGAACT